TATATAAAAAAGAATTATATTGATATGTTCATTTTTGAAAAAGTTATAGCACTTTTAAGTAAAAAAATTTGAAAACATTTTGAAAATTAGCAATTTTTAAATTTGTAATTTTTTTGGAGGTTTCCCCCATTTACGGAGAACGAGGGAAATTTTTTCAATTTTTAAGGGTAATGTCTTCGAATAGATACAATTTTTGATCTTTTGGCGTATCATTGAAAGAAATCGGTTCGGTGAGAGCTGAGAAAAAGTGGTAACAGACACAAAAAAAAAAAACACATCTTAGTAAAACCAATACCTTCTCAGCTTCGCATCAAAACTAAAATAAATATTAGTACACGTGTAAAAACCTGTAAAGTATGTCTTATTGACAATAGAGTAAATCATTTGAACCTGCAATAGGCTATTGTAGGTTCAACAGATGTATTAAAAATAGATGTATACATAATAGCATTTAGATAAGCACAATAATTGTGTTATACTATAATGTAACATATAAAATAACAGAGAATTATTCTCAATTTTCATTTTGACTGGGTTTAATTTGCTTGCTGTGTTACGGTTAGCAAATTAAAAAAAAGAAAAGTATATTAATAGTACTGAATATTAAACAGTATTAAATACTAAATAATTGTATTTAAAATACTACTCAGATACTTTTTATTAAATGTATTTAAAAATACTATTCAATACCAATGAAAGTATTTGAATACTTTTATTCAAATACATTTACTCAAATACTTTACGCCTTTGCCTATTATATAACAAGACATTGAAAAATTAGACAATTTTGTTTAAATTTTATGTTAGTTTATGTAGTTTTTACTAATGATACGGCTTTTAAAGGTTGTTTTAAATGATTCTTAAGTTTTCTATTTGTTGTTTTGAATTATAAGTAGCAAGTTATTATGAAGTAAGTACACCTAAGTATTTTGTAGTCATATTATTATTTTTTTAATTTACAAGTGGGACTAATTTTCTGGTAGACTGCTTCTGGAGTAATAATTTTTTTGCTCAATACAATACACTGGAATCAGTGACTTATCTGTAAGGACAGCTTAAAGGGCTTAACGCGCAGTAGACGCGTGAGAGCTGCAGGTCACTGAAGCTACTAGGCGAATCCTAGTAGTAGGATACAATTAACTTCTGAAAATAATATATACTATGTTTTGTTTCTTATTTTTAAAGATATTTCATGATTCATATAAAAACAATCAGTATAATACTCAGTATAAAACAATTTAATAATTATAAGGATTTTAGGGCAACAAATTTGTTATAATTACTTGAATTTTATTTTAAGGTAAATTGTTTATAATTCAATAGAGTTTTTACATTTTAACTTTTATAAATTTAAACAAACAAATAAATCATTTTTAGTTTTTTGCAACTTTTGATTTATTAAAATATATATTTATATTAATATATCTGTATCAGACTATAATTTAAAGTGCAGTTGACATTGTTTGTACAGTTGGGAAAATGTTTTGGGTAGTTTAGAAATAAAATTTGGACAACTCAAAATTACTAATATTATAAATAAAAGCAAGCTACCAAAATATTTCTTGAAAATGTTAGTTAAAACTGTTTCTTTTTTAACATTTTCCTGAAGTGCTATTTTAATTTAGAACAACCATATAATTGAAATCAGGGGGTATGGTGAATTTGGCCGCGCATTGGCTAGTTTATAATTATAATCGTGTAATTAAGATTATATTACACCATGACCTGTATTAAACAAATATAATAATTTGATTGATATAGATCAGGGATTATTTAATTAAAATATAAAATATGATATACTTCTGAGTTAACAAAATTGAAAAGCTTAAAGTTACATTCGTGCAACTCTCTGTAATGTATTAATAACTTACAGAACATTTTACGTAGACTTATTATACTGATATTATAATATCATATTTTAATGAATCCATAATATGAAAACTAGGTGACATTATTGGCAAAATAGTATTTATTTTTAACAGATATTGTCATCTAAACAGAACTTAGGCAAATTATGAATTGACAGTATAATTATTTTTAATCACGAAAAAAATACTTGTAGCTTAAATATGACGTCTAAACAGATATTAATTTCAGAGAATTTACATTAGTTATATTTTCAAATAATTATAAAATAAATAAAGATTGCAACTATGCAATTATACACGTACCGAGTTTTATCTAAAATATATGATTACTTATATTTGTTGCTCGTGTAAAAATTAAAAAATTTGTTTTACGTTTAAAACAAGGAATTTTTTTTTTTATTTAATACTTTAAATACATAATTAATATTATGAATTATTTTATATAATAATATTTTAAGTATTTAAAAGAAAATATTAATACTGAAAAAAATTAATTTAATTAATTGTTAAAATAAACCAATAGTTAAAAATAATTTTTAATCTGGCATTAAATTTTAAAAAATAAGGACCACCTTATTGCATACTGGTGGTCCCACATTTTCTGCCAAATCGCATAACTTATGGATTCAATGAATATTTTGCAGTATTTTTTAATTTTTTAAAATAATTTTCACACTTTTGGATTACAATAATAATAAAGATTATAATATTTTATAAATATATTAAAAAAAAAAATAAACATTTCATTAATTTTACAAATAATTCATTTAACACATTTGGTAAAAAATATTTTAAGTGAAAATTGGGTTAAACGATTTCTTATTAATATTTCATAGTCAAAATTTTAGAGCATTTTAAAGTTTATGGAAATTTGATTTCTACTTCTATTTTACATGTTTATTAGCCTAAAGGCTAATATTTATAAACACCTGTAAAATACCGTCTATATTAGAATAAGAGAAATTATTACCTTTACAAGCGTAGTTTTCCTGTTTTTATAATAATTTTGTGTATGGAATATCCATAAAATGACTGATGTCGTCCTCGTTATAATTAACTCCACTGTTGACATTATAAATGACCGATTTTCGTATTTAGCTACATTATTCGGTACGGTGTAAATCGCCTGGAGTTTAACATTAAATTTTATCGGTCTCATTTCATCAATACACTCAAGTAATTTTTCAACTAACTCGTCTCTTGTTGTCAACAAAAATATCGGACTATGTTTTCAATATTCTTTTTGTAAAACCATACAATTTGGTTCACCCATTTTATGAAAACCACTCGTCGTAATGTCTTGAAATCGTTTCACTGTTACCCGTTTAACTTTAACCGTATTGTTATGTAATAAACAAAAATATTGTAGAAGAATATAATATGTATTAAATATAAAGGGGGTAAGGATGAAGGAGTATTTCGGGGTTGAACTATGTTGAGTTATTAAATAATAAAATACCCCCACCTCACTTATTCTTATTCTTGTTTATTACGTGATTTTTTTAAGGAGTAAAGCATGCAAATAAATATTCGCACTTATCTTTATTTCCTTTCGTAGTTGACTGAGTTAATCTTATGGTGATTTCTCGCTTCAGTGTTAACAATCGTTTATAGGGTCTTGCGTTTGTTTCGATTAATTAGCTTTTGTGCGTATATTATATTTAAAAAAGATTCTCTACAATGGGACCTGCGTCTATTATGATTTGTTATCTTTTTTATACTTTTTAAACTATTATTATACTATGTTTTTACTAACGTGATTTTGTTTAAATATTTTATTTTATAATTGCTGCCTTTCGTTGTAAACATGGTTTTTGATACATTCGTATTTTTGTCCATGTTTAACTTAATTTTCTGTTTTTAACAATTAAATTAAATTTTCTTATTAATTTTAATTGTAATATTTATTTTATTTTGCAAATAACTTAAATACTCGCGTGTATTTTAACCCTGTTCCTTAATCTAAACACGGGCTACGGTATGTTTTACATATCCCACCACTAACAATTTATATTATCATAATTGTGGTTAATAAACCACGAGTTGTTAACATCATTTATACATATAACGACAACTTAAATTAAACTATTAATTAACTTAAAATTAAATTCCACTTATGGTCCGGTAATGATATCTGATAGATGTGATATCTTGCCTAGATGGTGGCGACCTTTGCTATTATAGCTAGTCGTTATGCAAATAGCAAACCACGTTGTTGTCGCAGGCCAATAAAAAGCCCACTTTGCAACTTAATTGAAATTTGATTTATCATAGATAATTTTATTTATTAATACTTTAAATTTTAATTTAAATATAAACATATTATTTAACATGTATATCTGTATTTAATTATAGTTTTCCCATTGTTATAACAATTGTAATCCTTTATTTAATACCTGTAATTTTATGTTTTCTTTAAAATATTTATGAAACAGTCTAACTTTAATGAGTAATTTTTCTTATTAATTAATATTACTTTAACAGGCTGCTTATTCACAAATGCAATTCGTAAATATGAATATTGTGCGGAAAAAATGCTTATAAAGTGTTAATGATAAAAATTATCTCTAGTATATTAATATAACATTTAGTAAATGCTTTTTCCATAAATAAAATATCCATTTTTTTTAATTGTGGTGTTTTATGTACAGATAAATGTAATGATACTATCTATATTTTTATAGTGTATTACACACAAGTACTTTATTCATAATTTAAACATATATTTGAGGAAATTGTCATTAATTATTGTATTATTATAAGATAATAAAAGTAAAATGTGATTTTAGCTTATAAAATTAATTAATACACAAACGAAAAAAATCATTATTAGACTATTACTGTATAAATAACTAGTGTTTTTAAGAAAATCTATTTGGTATCTAAATACGACAATTTTATGGTACACATATAGGAATATTTCACATAGATCGAGGAAAAAGTAGTAGTAATTATGAATAAAAATACTTTAGTTTATCATAGGATTTTTAACAAAATTTAGCTATCTAATAGGTAGTTATATTTAATTACATATATATATATAATTAGTATAAAGCTTTGTAATGGAATTTTTAATTTGTTTACATCTTTTTATTTTAGTGAATAAATATTTTTCAAATTTGTTTTCACTAGTGATTTTAATTTTCTACAATAAAATACTTTTTCTTTTTTAAAATAATAAAATTGAACACATTTTTTTTATTACTTTTGGTATTCAAAAAATGTATTAACATCAAATATGTCTTACAATAATGCTGAAATTTTTATTTGTTTTATAAAATTGAAGAAGAACTAAGTGGTAGGAGCAATATTAAAATTTTAATACATATATTTAGGATAGTGTTGATTTTAAAATTAATTCAATAGTTTAATGTACAACATAATTATTTTCATAATAGTCACTCTTAAGGACTATTAGGATATTGTACAGACTTCTTACATTTATCAAAGGAGTAATTCCTTGGAAGACTTGTTTCTGATGATAATTTCGTAACTTCATATGAAAACATTGTATCAAATGAAGGATTTTTACTATGGTTTCCCGAGGTTAAATGACATGTTGACCAATTAGAAATAATAGAACAAAACTCTGTAAACAACGTTTTATTCATTAATTTAAAAATAAAATAAAAAATATATGATATATATATATATAATAAAAATGTATAATAGTGTATACTAAACAATGTAATTTGATAAGTATACTACTACCATTTTTTTAATGAAATAAAGTATCCTAAATTGTTAGAGTTTATTTCAAATATTAATTTTCAAATAAAAATGATTCATGAGGAATAATTTTTTTTATCCCTTCAGGGATATAAATCTTTAAGTTTAATTTTCTTAAATAGGACCCTTACAAAATTAGGCAAGCTTTTCCATTAATTCTGAATTTAATATACTGATCTTTCAACGGTGTTCGTGATTGTAATAATCTACTGTTACCAACCGTGATCAAAGATTTACATATCAAATTTCTATTTTATAGTTAATTAATCTTCAACGGTAAACATAACCATCTAGTTATCAACCGTGATCAAGATAATTGACTTTTCCCTTTTAATCTTTTGCAACAGTGCTCGTAAAAATACGCTACCAACCGTGATTTAAAGGGTTATACTTTCCTCTTTACTTAATAATATTGGTTCCTAAAGACTGATAATTATTTATTATAGATATTGTTTGTTCTTTTATAAATAAAACAAAATAAGTTGATTATTTAAGTAAAATTGTGTTGTATTTTCATATTATTAGTAATTTTAAGTTGAGTAATATAAACTTAAATAGAGTACGTTCGTAAAAATCGTTTCAAGGTATAGACCCAACAAATGTTTAACCACAAAGAAATCGAAAAATATATTTTTCGATTTCTGTATTTATAAATATTACTAAATAAAATCGTAACATTTTTTCTCAAAATTATTATTTTAGGATTAATTTAGTGTTTAACGATAAATTAATCAAACCTGAACACAATTCAATACAATTTAATTATGAATTAATTTAACATGTCACTCTCAAATAAAAATTATTATTACTTTAATAATTATAAAACTAAAATTTATATAACTTTCGTGGTTAAATTTTAATTTTTTTTATTCGTGTTAATGTAAATATAAATTTTCATTACGAATCACTATTCTTTTTAGAGATAAAATATTACGCATATTAGCAATGAATATTTATATATTTTAAATGTAAAATTACCAGCTTGTTTTAAAATTTGAAATGATTTATAATATAATGCAAAGCTAAGAAAATATTAACTTTTTATGATATTTACTATGATAAGTTTGTTTTTATGTCTATACAATATTTGTATTGACAGACACAGCGTTTAATATTTAATTCCTAAAGCACTGATTTAAGATTAAAAAAAAAAACTCAAAGATAAAGAAAATTAAAGTACTGTAGGGATAAAGTAAATGGAGTTAAAGTAGTTTTTAGATTAGTATATATTGATTGATGTTTGACAGTGATGAAAATCATTATCGTAAAACTCTTCGTTCGTATTTAAAACAAATCGAAAAAAAATTAACACGTACAAAGTGTTTCACGATAACAAAAATTATGATTTTAACAATTATATTATTTTTTAAAAAAGTATCGCAAAATGTTTGTAAATACATAATTATCATTTTTAAAGACCGAAAAAAATTATTTCATTATAAAGTGAAAACTAAAAATAACAACATTGACTGTTTTCTAAACATTTCTCTTTATTGACTGATGTCAATATTTAGAGACTGAGGGAAGTTTTTCAAAATGATGTCGCTAATAGCCTCAACTAGATACGTTTTGTGATCTTTTAACGCATTATTGAACAAAATCAGTACAGTAGAGGAACGAGAGTATTCGTATATACAGACACAAAAAAACCAAAAGCTTCTCAATTAATATCGAAACTAAATATATATATTTTAAAACACTTTACATTTTAATGTAAAATATTTTTGTTCTTTAATAATGTAAATTTCTAGGACAACGAGATAAACAAAGTATATTTTATTGAGCTAACTGCTCTATACAATTAAAAATATTACTAAGTCACCGATAAATGAGAAAGATCTTCTAATAAATTACAATTCCATATCAAGAGGGTATTATCAAAGTAACATTTCAATTCCAAGAACGATTTTATCTTGAATTATTAACTATATTTCAGAAACCACGCGTACTTTTAACATATATTTAATTAAAGATTTTATAGTATACTGCAAGCTAAAAAAAGCAACTGGTCCAATAATCATAATATTTATTCATAATACTTTAATACTACTTTATAAAAAAATAACTTAAATTTAATTTTATGTTTCAAGAATTGGCCATTTTTTCAGAAATTTATTTTTATTTCATGGACCAGTTATGTTAAAAGACAAATCATTGGGACATTTTTACTAACTACAAATAAATCGCTTACCATTGAAATCAATATATCCGTCTTCATTTTTATCTTGTTTTTCTATAAACTCACTGAATATTCGTTTATTACATTCATGCAAACTATTGTTCTTATTTACTATTGTTATAAGATCTTGAACATTGATATTTTTACTTTTTTTGTCAGCCAAATATTTCATGAACACAGTTTTCTTAAAATTATTTAGTTTTTCTACAATATAATCACTTACTTGTACTTGGTTATCTAGTTCACCTATAGAATTTTTTAGAAACATAGTTGCTGCTCAATAAAAATTTTAACAAATTAAAAAATTGTCTCCAGAAAAATATACATATACTAAAAAAAAATCATTTTTTAAAAAGTACTAAAACTAATGATAAGTAAACACGGCAAAATATTTCAACCTCTTAGATAACAAAAATATTTTAATCGCCTTACTTTTGTTATTTATTAAAAATATCTTTGAAGTATTCAATAATAAAAAAGTTTTTTATTTTTAATATTTGTATGGTACAGAACGCCTTTAGAAGGATCTAGTTGACCAGTTGTTACAAAGATCATTGATTATATTATTTTGTGGGACAGCTGATCACCAGCATCTTGTTTTACTCATCCCCTTGCTCACCCATCACGGAAAATCTATGACCTCCGTGTCGATTGTCATCCGTGTCCCCCGGTATACAAATTTCTACTACCTAATGAAAAATCCAATTCTCTCAATACTTTTGAAGTAGTTATCAAGAAAAGGTTTTCAATTAATGAAATTCTTATGTTTTGACACTAATAATATGCACAATGAAAACCTGTCGTACGGGCCACCTAATACACGTAATATTAAATGTGACCTGTAAGAATATTATGGCCAATCGAAAATTTTGAAGGATTTTTAATGTTATAATTCTAAATACACGGAAAAAAATACTTTTTATTCTGGATAAATGATCATCAATCTTTAATAGAGTCATTAGAAACATCTAAAAAAACCAAATAAAACTCAACAATTTTACACCTTTAATGTTTCAACTAACTATTTTAATCTAGTTCAATAAAAATGAATTTAATAAAACTATATATTATATTAGCTTAATTTTATTTATAAATCAAAATGTCTTACTCAGAAATATTTTCATACTTGAAGCTAAATCAGCTTGTTCGTTTACAGTGACATCTAGAAAATATTTTAAGTTCAACACAGCAGTTTCAACATCACGTGATGTTAATGCAATAATCTAAATAATAAAATCATTAATACAATGTTGATTAAGAACAAAATTAATTTATAAAATAGATATTCCAATTATTAAATTATTAAAATCATGATATTTGTTCTGAATAAATTAATTGATTTTTAAAAATTGACATAATTAATAAGAAAATTAAACGGACTTACNGTTCTGAATAAATTAATTGATTTTTAAAAATTGACATAATTAATAAGAAAATTAAACGCACTTACACTGGTTGTCAAGCTAAGTAGTAACAAATAACAAATTAAGTTGAACATAGTTCTATATTTTCTTTCTTATTATTTTATTAAAATGTAATTTAATTAAATATATTGTATTCGAGTTTTAATATTTATATTGCTTTGAGGTTGATTTAAAAAATCATTAAACAAATATTCGTATTCATATTCATAACTCAATCTTATTCATAGTATTTTATGACGTCTTTATACATTTTTTGTTAAAAAATAATTGTTTTTGACAGTAAAATTTAATTTATTTACTCACACTAAAATTAAAATCTCAATGCCGTAAAACAATATTATATCGTTTGACACGGATAATTATAATGTCAATGAATGGTATGTTTAATATTTAGTAACGCAAGCACGTAAAATGTTTAAATAATAATTGTGACGGCACTTGCCCAAAGAACAAAAAAAATAAATAAATAAATATACAAGGTGAAACGGATCTAACTGACAACTCATATAACTTATGATCTACATAACATTGTATACTTTTTTTTTTTTTTAATCAATTTTTACAATATAGAACTATATTTAAAATATGTTTTATGTTATTTTTCGCAATTACAAAAAATAAAAATTAAATTAAATTTTTTTCCTAAAATTTTTTTTAAGTATTAAGATAAACATTTTATAGATAAGTTTTTATGAAAAATGTTGATACTAAAACTCTTATTTTAATTCAGTAGTTATTTTTATACAGAATTTTAAAATTTGTTAAATTTTGATTTTTTTTACAATTTTCCTATGGTATCAAATGATAGTCCATAATATGTAAAGTACAGAAGTAAACACTTATTACATTATTTACTGGTAACAGTACGCGATTTCTTTTCCATGAAAATTATTAACATTTGAATAAGCATTTGTAATTGACATGAAAAAACAATTAGTTGTATAATTCAGATTATTTTAAAAAATTATAGAAACATTGTCTAAAACATTTTGAATTATTAATTAAATAAGTTCATATATCATAAATTGAAACGTGAATAATAGTGAATAAGTGCATTTATTATCAAATCTTCTAACAAGGAATATCCTATAATAATATGATTACAAAGATAGAATCACGCAAGTTAATAATTGTTATCACTTTTAACTTGGCTAACCATGGAACACTCGTAGTTGATATACGATAATGTTTCTAACTTTTGTAATAAAGATTAGAGATGATCATTTCTGTATAAAGCGCGTTAAACGTTATTATCATCCATGGAAAAGAAATCGCGTACTGTTACCAGTAAATAATGTAATAAGTGTTTACTTCTGTACTTTACATAATATGGACTGACATTTGATACCATAGGAAAATTGTATAAAAAATAAAAATTTAACAAATTTTAAAATTCTGTATAAACGTAACTACTGAATTAATTTTAATTTTAATTTTTTGTAATTGCAAAAATAACATAATACATATTTTAAACATAGTTCTATATAGTTTTGTAAAAATTAATTAAAAAAAAAAGTATAAAATGTTATGTAGATTATAAGTTATAAGAGTTGTCAGTTAGATCCGTTCTACCTGTATATATGAATTTAAAACTAAACACAACAAAAGAAATACAACTTATGATTTTAATTATTTATACAAAAGTATTTTTCGATGTACGACACATGAAACGGCGGATAGCGTAAGTTTGGGTGAGACGTCAAAAATAAGAGAGAGTGTTTACCGCCGGTCCACAGTGGTCGACCGCGCTCCAGTAGATAGACTTTGCACCCCAACTAGATAGAGGGAGTACTTAAATCAGGCTGGGCTCGCCATGTAATAAGGCGGCTAATAAAAGAGACGAGGTGACCGTGTATGGTAAAATGTACGGTACCGTGTCACATTCTTACAAAAAACGCGAAATTCATATTATTTTCGAACAAATTTTCATTGTTTGATTAATAAATTTAAAAATATTTTCATAAAAAGTTCTCAAACATTGCAAAGTAAGGCGTGTGGAAAATTAGAGAAAGAAATTTCAGAATTACAAGATATACAGCAATACATGATTGAAACTCAATCTGAAAAGTAAAATAAATATATTGAACCCACAAAAAAAAATTCTATTAGATGATGGCGATGAAGATGATGTAAAAGTTAAACTTTTATTTTTGAAAAGAAGATAAATTGCTTTCTGTTATGACAAAGCAATAAAAAAATATAAACAGCAATTATAATCTTTTTCTTTATTTATATTTAAAACGAAATCACTGAAACTTTAGTACTATTATAGTAAATTATAGTATTATATAATAAAGAACAATTTCATCCATTTAATATATATATAAAGACTAGCATAAAAAATAAAACTTATTTCTTCATAATAAAAAGTAATTTGAAAATATCATAAAATTATATTTGATTATAAAATAATGTATTTCATTAATGTTATTAAATATTGCTATTATCTATATTTTTGGATATTAATATCATTATCTGATTTGTTTGGTTGGTATACCATAGTCTGATTATTATAACAATGGTATTCTTGAAAATAAAAAAAAATTATGAAAACCTTTAAATATTAAATTTAATTTTTGAATATAATTTATTTTTTAGCTTCGATGCGAAGCTGAGAAGGTATTGGTTTTACTAAGATTACAATGTGTTTATTTTATTATTATTTTTTTTTTTGTGTCTGTTACCACTTTTTCTCAGCTCTCACCGAACCGATTTCTTTCAATGATACGTCAAAAGATCACAAATCGTATTTAGTCAAAGACATTACCCTTAAAAATTGAAAAAAATTCCCTCGTTCCCCGTAAATGGGGGAAACCTCCAAAAAAATTACAAATTTAAAAATCGCTAATTTTCGAAATTTTTTCAATTTTTTTTACTTAAAAGTGCCATAACTTTTTCAAAAATGAACATATCAATATAATTCTTTTTTATATAGATGCATAATATCATTACCTTTCATTTGGTATATTTTTTTCATAAATTTAACCCTTAACCTGCCCACAAGGGGGGATTTAAAATGACAACTTTTTCACAAAAAATTAATTTTTTTAACTTAAATTTTGAAAATGTTCCGGAAGGTCTGACACTTTTATATATATCTTAAATTAAAGCTAATGTAATATGCTTTATCATGAAAAAAAAAAATTTCGGACTTTATCTTATCTTCATGGTGAAAATGGCTACCGAATGCTATTTTTGTGTGAAAATTTTCGATTTTGTATTTTCCATTTTTAACTTTATTATGCTATAACTTTTTGAAAAATGTATGAATCATTACAATTTTTTTATGAGAAGTAGTATTTATATAGATCTTTCATTCGACATACTGTTTTTAAATCAGACCATTTCTATTAATACAGGGGGGATTAAAAACATAAAAATGCATATAGAAAGTAGAACTTTTTCAACTTAACTTTTGAAAGTGTTCCGGAAGGTCTGACACTTTTATATATATCTTAAATTAAAGCTAATGTAATATACTTTATTATGGTAAAAAAAAATTTCGGACTTTATTTTATCTTCATGGTGAAAACAGACATTAAACTTAATAAAAAAAATACAATTTTTGTAAAAAAATTCTTTTTTATATTTTTAACTTTATAATGCTATAACATTTTAAAAAATGTATGGATCAATATAATTCTTTTTTTTGTAGATGCATGATGTCTTTACCTATCATTTGGTATATTTTTTTTATAAATCTGACTTTTTACCTGCCTACAGGGGGGGATTCAAAATGACAACTTTTTCACAAAAAATTGACTTTTTCAACTTAAATTTTGAAAGTGTTCCGGAAAGTCTGACACTTTTATATATATCTTAAATTAAAGCTAATGTAATCTACTTTATTATGTAAAAAAAAAATTTCGGACTTTATTTTGTATTCACGGTGAAAATGGCTACCAAATGCTATTATTTTGTGAAAATTCTCAATTGTATTTTTTACATTTTTAACTTTATAATGCTATGACTTATTGAAAAGTGTATTGATCAATACAATTTTTTTATGAGAAATAATATTTTTTAATAATCTCTTTTTCATTCGACATACTTTATCTTAATCAGGATATTAATAAGGAACTAGCAGATCATGTAGCTTTTGAAATAATCCATCAATTTTTTAAAATTAAACACTAAAGATTTGCATCGAAGAGTTTTTTTTTTTTGATAGTGATTTTAATCACTGTTAGATATCATTATACTTGATCCAACTATGCCATGTCACCACTGTGCCGCGACCCCCCTGTGCTGGGTTTTTTTTTTTATATATCGATTTATTTTTTCATACGATATGGATATATCGCGATGTTGGAAACAAATTTTTTTTTCATTATTGCGATTTAATATCGCTGAAATTCAGTACGATATTGATATACAAAAATATATTGTTGACGAACCCTAATAAACTAATGTAGTTGTTAATTGTTAATGTTGGTGGAAGATGAATAATCTGTCGGTAACAAAAGATTTATACACAATTAAATGTTGATATATTAAAATTTAACATAGATTGAATAATTGATGAAAAGTTTTGAACTTTTGAATTATATTTATTCAAATTAAAATTAACAATTGTTTTTCAAAATAGTAACCAAGTTAATTAAAATCAATTTATTTATCTACAACTTCACTGTTTATTTATAGTTGATTTTTTTGAAACTTTTTAAGAAAACTTTTCCTACTGTCCGTGTTATTAGAATTAACAACTCAATTTTGGTGTATTATGGCCTTATTAAAGGTATATAGAAAATATCACAAAATATAAATTAACTGTTGGGCCTTTAAGTCTTACTGATTTT